GTAAAACAAGCCAAATCACTTCGTGAACTCGGCAACCAGGTTACCGGTTTTTTTTTTTTACCTCGGTTTTTTTTGGCGGTTATCATAATGGTGGTCGAGTGGATCATGTTGTGCAGGGTGGAGAACCCTCACTCCGCGCAAGGGGGATGATCGCACCACGTTGTGTTAATATGGTCAAGCACCCTCGAGGCAGTTACACAGTGCTTACAACTGTCTCTGGAAGTGAAAGCACCAGAAAATAAATTAAGTCATACGCAGCTGTCATCCGTACGCAAGGAAGTAAGCACAAGATGCCGAACACCCTTAGCAGGATGCAGCGCACCCTTCATGCGACTCGCCGAATATCTCACGGCGCTTCGCGCTTGGTGATGTGAGAGCCTGGTCCGGTGAGAACCCGGCGTGCTCCGTCCCGGCTTTGTAGGGATGCGAGGTCAATGGTCTAACGACTACGGCATGCACGACTATGAGTACATCCCCCCCCGGTGCTATAACACCGATGGGTGCGAAATCATCGATGGGTGCCATCGCACGCACTTTTACGGTATGCATACAATTTTTCGACATCGTGCGGGTGGGTTCACGAAACTTTCCGCCGTGCAGTCACACCCTGGGCATGTCGGGAGGGTCCTGCAGACGACGCCAGTGGTACGAGATTGTATTCCTTCTCTACACATGTCCAGTCCGGGAATCCGGGGCTCGTGGCACTTCGTTCAGTCCGACCCAAGATGGTGCATTTGTTGAATACTAAATCCCTTGGTTTTCATCGCTTAATTAAACCTCTCTTGTCACAATATTGCTTGAAACTTTATTACCATTATCTAAACAGACATCTCTACCTGCCGTCCAACAACGCCAGACATGTACGGTGACACACCATCACACGGCTAGCCTCAAAAGAGCGTCCTTCGTTTTCGAATACTTGCATAGAGTTGAGCGTCCATCCGCCAATTCACATACTCACGACTATATATCGAGCGCTAAGGACTCACACCCAATTCCTCTGCGAGAATCTTTGTCTGTCTCGTACTCTCGCCGACCGCTCACCCGATGTCAGAGCTCTAAAGCCGGCTACCCTAGACCCTGTTTGCATTGCGCGAATGCACGCTTTGTGCTCGATTCCGACGGACGCAGACAAACAAAATCTGCTACATTTACATATGATACGTAATTACAGTAGTTCGTGCGCCAATGCACGCACCGCGAACGACGCCACACCCAAACCATAATAAACAAATGAACGCAGCCTAACCTTCGAACGACCGAACATATGTACGCACGTCTAGAAGGCGGAATTGAACAAAACTAACAAGTTGTGAGTTTTCAAACCGCCGACAAAGTTCGTGTAGTTCTACAGGCTAGGTTTGCAAGAAGAGAAATCCCACTGTAGCTCGACTCCCTGGCGACTTATGCTTGTTGATGAGCGTCGCTTCTTCGAGCTATGATCTACTGTAGATGCACCGCATCGCGTCAACTCTTGAAGGAGGAAGCGTGACAGCGCAGTGTCGCGAGCGACTCTCTCCCAGCTGGTGACATTCGTAGGGTCCTTGGGGGGCCAGATGACCACCCGTAGATTGTGTCGTTGACAGAGACACCACAGGAGGATGAAGACGTCCCGCGGAGAAACAAAATGAGGGAGCTTGCTGAGGAGTGAGCGGAGGTGCAAGAAATCAGCACAAGCGTTAAGTTGTCACGCACGTCAGCTGCAACAAGGACACATTGAGTGCTATATACGGTAGCTGAACGACGACGGTTCTGCAACCAACTTGTTCGGCACTCGAGGGAGACTGGGGGAAAGAGACAGCTCTCTATTCCTTTTGTACTCACTGCGTCAAAGATTACTGTACCTCCCACAAACATATCTATCTCATCCTTGTCAAAAGCTCCCTACACTTGCTACCTGCGTCTAGACCGGAAACTCGTCGTGGGTGCCACTCCGTCGCCACTGTCGGAAGGTCTCCCTAGTGAAAACAGCACCCACGGCGAGGTACGAGAGGGCCCCGAGGGCAACGGGGAGAACTAGCGCGATCTCCTGGGCGGATGATATGTCTGTGCCATAGCCCGCGTAGACCCTATCGTCACTACTGTCGTCTTGGATCGGACTGAGAAACCATAACCTGTATGATTTGGAGTAGCACGAGGCGTTTGGCGGGATATGGGTTCGGGTGCGCAGCACCATGGTTGAATTTTCAGGACGCACTCAAACCGTTCCCGTCTCCTGTGTACACTTTAGTGGTGGCAAGCTTGTTCTTATCTCCTACACAACGTATCACACTTCAGTGGTGGAAAGCTTGCAAAAAAGAGAGGGGGGGGGCGGGGGGGGGGGGGGGG